ATCTGCATTGCACACCGCAGCCTGTTAGACCAGTTATATAGATGTAACTCATCGAATAATGGTCAGGGACCTATATGATAGTTAAACCGTGCACCTTTCAATTGACTGCAAACTAGTTTGAATAAAAATTCTTAAATGGATTTCCTGACAAAGGAAAAGATCTCATTGCAGTATCAGTACCATCAATAAACAGATTCTCAACCTGCACATTCACTTTGCAAAGAAACTATTCTATGATCCTCTTGTTTTATGGAAGTATGTACTAACTAAAAAACCTACCAAATCTACCTAATGTACACAAGNAGAGAGGTCCTAAGGAGATGTATGGAGGCTGGGGGGTTTCCCGTAGCATACATTAGGGTGATTAAGGACATGTACGAGGGAGTGAAGACTCGGGTGTAGATCGCGGGATTAGACCTAGATCATTTTCCAGTAGAGACGGGGTTACATTAGAGATCGAGTCTTAGCCCGTTTTTGTTTGACCTAGCGTTGGATGTGCTGACGCGACATATACAAGGGGAGTTCCCATGGTGTATGCTATTTGCTGATGACATAGTTCTGATTAACAAGACGCGAGGCAAAGTTAACGTTAGGTTTGAAGTTTGGAGACAGATGCTGGAGTCTAAAGGTTTTAAGTTGAGTAGGTCGAAAATGGAGTAAGTGCAAATTCAGCGATGGGATGCATGAAACAGAAGTGAAGATTTATACTCAAGTTATCCCCAAAAGAGATAGTTTCAAGTATCTTAGGTTTATTATCCAAGGCAAAGGGAGATTGGCAAGGATGTTACTTATCGTATTAGAGCGGGGTGGATGAAATGGAGGCTCGCTTCGAGGGTTTTGTGTGATAATAATGTGCCACCTAGACTTAAGGGCAAGTTCTATAGAGTGGTGGTTAGACCAACTATGTTATAAAGGGCTAAGTGTTGCCCGTCAAGAAGTCCCATGTCCAGAAGATGAAAGTAGCTGAAATGAGGATGTTGATATGGATGTATGGACATACCAAGAAAGACAAGATTATAAATGAAGTTATTAGGGACAAGGTGGGAATGGCCTCTGTGGAGGAAAAGTTGTGGGAATCGAGGCTGAGATGGTTCGGGCATGTGAAGAGGAAAGACATAGATGCTCCGGTCAGGAGGTAGGAGAGTTTGAGTATGGCGGGTCCGAGGAAGGGTAAGGGTAGGCCAAAAAGTATTGGGGAGAGGTAATTAGGCAGGACATATCATTGCTTCGGCTTACCAAGGATATGACCCACGATAGGTAGGTGTGGAGGTCGAGGAATAAGGTTGAAGGTTGACAGGTAGCAGTGTGTTTCTCCTCGGCTTACCGGTAGTACTAAGAATATTCTTGTATTTTCTTATTCATGGTTCTTTATTACATTGTTGTTACTATTGTTTGTTGCTTGGTTGCTTTATTTTCACTGTTCCTTGAGCCGGGGGTCTATCGGAAACACCCTCTCTATCTTTATAAGATAGGGCTAAGGTTTACGTACACACAAACCTCCTCAGACCCTACTTATAGGATTATACTAGGTTTGTTGTTTTTGTAAAAGAATTATTCTTCGACTATAATTTTTGCATATGCCTTTTAAAAATTTTAAATTATTAATTTTTGTGGCTTGGAGAAATTTTACGTAGTTTTTAAATATGTAAATTTTAATTTGAAAAGTTAAAAATATTTATATATACTATCAAAATTAAGAAGTTCGAACCTCAAAAAATAAAAAGTATCTCATAAATTAAAATAGAATAAATATTATAAATACTTAAGACAATAAGTTTAAAAAATATTGTCACAGAAGATAGTACTAGAATAAGAAACCGTACGATTCTGCTTTCAGGTAAAATATTCCGCGCTACATCTGTGACTTCGGGAAAATGGTGAAGTTGTAGTTCTCATCAGATTCAAGCATGGAGTCAGTTGGGTGTAGTTGAAAACTGGAAGTAACACCTCAAACAACAATGACGGCAACCGTAAATCTATCTCTATCTCCTCTTCTCTCCACTCCCCAACAACCTCAATCAAATCGAAGTACAACAACCGACCTAATCAAATCATGCAAAAACCTTAACGAAATCAAACAGCTGCATGCCCGTTTCACTAAACAAGGGTTCAATCAAGACCCTGGTTTTCTTGGTAAACTCATTGCTAAATGCTCCGAAATAGGCTCATACGATAGCTTAAAATATGCACAAACAGCTTTTGACAATTTCTGTTATAGTGAAGAAGGTTTAAATAATACTTACAAGTTTAATTCTTTAATAAAAGGGTATTCTTTAGCTGGTTTGTTTTCTGATGCTGTGTTGATTTATGCAAGAATGGTTCTTGAAAATGTGGAGCCTGATGGTTACACTTTTCCTTTGGTTTTGAGTGCTTGTGCCAAGGATGGAAGGTTTTTTGAGGGAAGCGAAATTCAGGGTTTGGCTTTAAAATGGGGCTTTGGTGATGATGTGTATGTGTTGAATTCTCTGATACATTTGTATAGTGAATGTGGGGAGGTTGATAAAGCGAGGAAAGTGTTCGATAAAATGCCTGACAGAAATTTGGTGTCTTGGACTTGTTTGATTTGCGGGTACGCGAGGAGGGAGAAGGCTGAAGAGGCGGTTCGTTTGTTTTTTGAGATGGTAGAGGAGGAGGGTATTATGCCGAATTCTGTGACGATGGTTTGTGTGATTTCGGCTTGTGGGAAGTTGGGGGGTTTGGGATTGGCGGAAAGGGTGTGTGGTTATATTGGAAAGGCTGGATTAAAGGTCAATACTGTTATGGTAAATGCTCTTGTAGATATGTATATGAAATGTGGATCCGTGGTTAAGGCGAAAAGGCTTTTTGAGGAATGTGTTGATCGTAATTTGGTACTTTATAATACGATTTTATCAAACTATGTACGCCATGGGATGGTAACCGAAGCACTTGATGTCTTGGGTGAAATGCTTTCTTGTGGAGGACCTCGTCCGGATAGAGTAACTTTGTTGTCTGCTATATCAGCCTCGACAGAGATGGCTGATGTTTTCTTAGGAAAGCAGTGTCACGCTTATATTTTGAGGAATGGGTTAGAGAATTGGGATTCTATTGGTAATGCCATCATCGATATGTACATGAAGTGTGGGTGTCAAGAATGGGCTTGCAGAGTTTTTCACCGGATGTCAAACAAGACAGTGGTATCATGGAATTCACTAATTGCAGGCTTTCTGAGAAATGGTGATGTGGAGGCAGCTTGCAGAACCTTTAATGAGATGCCGGAGAATGATATTGTGTCATGGAACACCATCATTGGTGGTTTGGTACAACAGAGCATGTTTGAAGATGCAATTCATTTATTTCGTGTGATGCAGAATGAGGGGATTAAAGCAGATAGGGTGACAATGGTCAGTGTTGCATCTGCGTGTGGATACTTAGGTGCTAATGATATTGCTAAGTGGATATATAATTACATTGAGAAATACGAAATTCATCTAGATATGCAGCTAAGTACTGCGCTTATTGACATGTTTGCTAGGTGTGGCGATCCTCCAAGTGCAATGAAACTGTTCAATAAAATGAAGGAGAGGGATGTCTCTGCCTGGACTGCAGCGATAGGGGCTATGGCTATGGAAGGAAATGGTAAGCGGGCAGTCGAACTATTCTATGAGATGCTCCGGGAAGGGGTAGAACCTGACAAAGTTGTGTTTGTGGCTGTACTAACAGCATGTAGCCATGGGGGTTTAGTAGGAGAGGGAATGGAAATCTTCAGGACTATGAAAGAGATCCGTGGAATCTCACCACAGATAGTGCATTATGGGTGCATTGTTGATATGCTTGGTCGCGCTGGTTTATTGAAAGAAGCTATTGATATTATAAAAAATATGCCAATGAAGCCAAATGATGCAGTTTGGGGAGCTTTTCTAGCTGCTTGTAAAATGCATAAAAACGACGGGATGGCAACTTATGCAGCTGACATGATCTCTGAATCATCCCCAGATAAAGCTGGAATCCATGTGCTTCTATCAAATATTTATGCTTCGGGAGGGAAGTGGACTGATGTTGCCAAGGTAAGGATGTCTATGAAGGAAAGAGGGATAAAGAAGAACCCCGGATCAAGCTCAATTGAGGTGAATGGAACCGTTCACGAGTTTACTTCAGGTGATGAATCTCACCCAGAGCAGACCAGTATTTGTCTAATGCTAGAAGAAATGAAGTGCAGGGTTAGAGAGGCAGGTCATGTCCCTGATCTAACAAATGTTATGATAGATGTTGATGAGCAAGAGAAAGAATTCTTGCTTTATCGACATAGTGAGAAAATAGCCATGGCATTTGGACTTATCTCTACATCTCAGGGACATCCCATTCGGATTGTGAAAAACCTTCGAATGTGCTCTGATTGCCACTCATTTGCAAAACTGGTGTCAAAAGTATATGAACGGCATATTATTGTCAGAGATAACAACCGTTTCCATTTTTTCCAGAGAGGGTTGTGCTCTTGTGGTGATTATTGGTAGCTGCATTGTTGTATATGATTGTATGATAGTACATAGTATTGGTACTTTCTCAAATTTAATTGTGTAACTTCATCAAATGCTGTGATTATAAATTCCATTTATCTGGTCTAATAAATACTTAATTATAAAGCAAATTTAGCTTTGATCCGTTGGCAAAACCTGCGGTCCAATAACCAAGAGGTTCTCTCCCAAAGAAAAAAGGGAATTCTTTGTACTTCTCCAAGAATGTAGATAAGTTATTCCACATATTTACATGCTGTGTTCCATAACAGGGTGAACTCGCACCTTCTCTCAAAAAGCCAGAGAGAGAGAGAGAGAGAGAGAGAGAGAGAGAGAGAGAGAGAGAGAACGATACTTTGTTATAACAGCTTAAGACATCTCTGATCTCTTTATCTGGTATTTCTCAGGTCCATTATCGCGGTAGGTGAAGAAACATTTGCAAATTTGATGCATATTTTCATCTCTCAAAAACTTTATCATAACAGCTACTGTGGATGAAAAGTACTACATCAATATGAAAACATGAGATAAACTCAAAAGCAGCCATCTGATAAACACTTTATAAAATATAAAATTTGTCTTATATGTTACCATTCTCAAAAAAAAATATAAAATTTGTCTTCGGCTGGGTGATGGGGATAGCGATTTTGTTTCTTTAACAAGAAATTCAGGATTATAGACAAAGTCCATCAGATGGATTGGTATTGCAGAAAGAATCTATTTGGATGGATTCTGAAACTTTGGGAAAATTGGATCAATATAAACATGATACATGGGATCAGCAAGCCAGAGCTTGGCGAGGTAATGAGGAGACGAAGTACGCCTGTGAACTTCTTCCATAAGCCAGATGCTTGATTCGGCTTTGGTCGGATGGATGAGCATCTCCAATGGATCAACTTCGTCATCGGCCCCAATCCTCATTTGATCCCGTTGCTTCATGCAGAGGTTGGTCAGGTAATGCAGTGGTTGCCCATATAACTTCTTAATTGATGCAGCCAATCCTGCCCAAGAGGTGCAAGGAATAGAGGAGTGAGTCTGTGTGGGGATAGGAACCAGCTGCATGTACTCTTGGTACATTCTCGCTCTTCTGA